AGTATGCGACACAAGAATGACCTTCTTTGTATGTGGTCGCACATCAACCTGCTCTTGCTGGACGCTCGTGGTAAAATTGGATGATCTAGGGGGCCCAAAAACGCATGGTGTCCTTTCGGCTTCGGTTTCTAGCAACCCGGGTAGCTAAGGCCAAAACTGCCACCCTTCAGCAGCAAGTCTTCGGGAGAAAGTTTTCGGGAGTAATCTCTAATTATGTGGCATCTCTGAGGAATCGCTCCATGACATCTCCCAGGTGTGCAAAATTCCCCCCGCTTTCTCGACGGAAACATGGACTCTCGCTGCCAGTTGGCTTTGCCAGGCAACTCCCGACCTGATCGACACGCGTCTGTGCACCACCGAGACGATCCACACAGCTGCCTTGCTTAAAACCGTTTCAAAACAACACCTAGCTCTGTGCCATCTCCGCGCCTATTGGGGACCTGCTCTTGGGCACGTTAGGCGAAAGCTAGCCAGCTGAGCGGCTTCCCAAGTTGGTCTCGCTTAAAAGATGCCCCCCACATTCCATGTTGGAACCCTCAAAACGAATGGAGTCCATCATCCATCCCTCGGACAAACTCCGATGGTAGGGTTCGCTCTGCTTAGGGCTCGGCAGTAAGTAGATCACTGAGTAGATCACTGAGTAGATCACTTCAGTGCGCCCCGCGCGAACTGCTTGCGTTCGCCCTGTGGTTTCGCCGGAAGGCATTCGCATCTGGGACCTCAGATGCGTTGACATGAAGTCAAGGGACCAACAGCTACGTACTCCGTGAGGAAGCCAACCCAAGGAGATCCCTTCCCCCAAAAGAAGATTGTTCTACCTTGCGGGGTTCCACGTCTATCATATTTTCGTGTATTGCAAGGGGAGCCCTTTGTCTAGGAAACACGATCTGATGCCCTTCTCCCAGTTGTGGCCGGGAGCGGTGGTTTGCCTCCTTTCACCCGGCACCCGAGCAATCCCCCCTTGATCCCCCATTAGCGGTGCTCCAAATTTTGTCTGAGTTCCATCTGTGATCACTCCCGGGACAGGACGAAGACTCTTGAATTCGTTGGCAAGAATCACCGGAGTGCTCGCAATTCGCGGCCCTGGAATTTGGACCGGAACTTGTCTGCGCGTCTTTCGAAGGGGCCACAAAAAGCTCCCAAAACAAAAACATCCCCTTGAACAAATCACACCATAGCAAGTGCCAAGGAAACCAAAAGTGAGGGACTCTTCACTTTTTGGGGGTTCACCAAAAAACCATTCAACCCCTTGACCACCCCTGACAGAACGCTGCCGGTTAACACGGATCCTTGTACCCAACATGTGGGAAAACCCCCCCTTTTGGGGCTCCATCTTCATCTGCAGAGAAGCTATGTGAGCGGAATCCATTCGACCCAGAGATTTATGTTCTCACTCTGAACGCATGTAAATCTCATGCGAATCTTCCCCAAAACCGAGCGGGGAATTCGGGGTCGCGCGAAACCATGGGTGAAAATCGTGTGCCATGAACCCTGAAAATAGACTTTCGGACAGTCATGTCTCCAATCATGGACTATGGCCTCCAAAAAGGATCGGACCTTTGCGCCCAACGTCTGAAGGCTTAGTGACCATTGCAGGCTGCTCCTGACTACCTGCGTTTGTCTGTTCAAACCACATCCTGACTCTTGCTTGCTTGGCTGTGTTTGAGCATGAACCGGCTGTCAGGCACCATGTCAGCTCTTGTTGTTGGAGTTTGAACCCGCTGTCAGCCAATGAACGCCGAGCTGAAAAGGACCCCGACGTGGATTGCCTCTGCAAGTGTAGTCACCCCCCCTCCACCCGCCCACCGCATTGCACACAAACATACACATACTAATACTAGCTCACGAATCTTACGGATGGCATGAACACTAGCACGCTTTCGCGCCGCCAAAAAGTGAAAAAGTTCCCTCAAAAGGGTGCCCCTCTTGGCCGCTTCCTTTGAGGAAGCCTTTTCACAACACCCATTTTGAAAGGTGCCCATACGCAAAACATCTCCTCGCCTACAAATAGGTGACCCTCTGAGAAAATAGTTATGAAACCAATTTAAACCTGTGGAACCCATCTGTGTCTAACCACACTAACCCAACAAGGACACCTACGCCTAGGACTGTTCATTCTGCGCGGTTTTTGCGTCCGGGTCACGTCCAAACAAAGGGCTGCAACGGTGGCGCCCGGCCGAATGCGGCCGGAGGCCTCTGCTTCTAAAGCGCGCTGCTGGATGCCTAGGGAAACCGGACCGAGGTGGTGCCCACGGTATCTATAGGGACTCTGAGGGATCTTAGCCAATCCAAATTCAATCCAAATGACGGGAACCTCGGATTCAGCGCTTTGTTTGAGGGAACACCCTCATAATACCCATCCCCGGTTGCCTAATCCTGCCATGGTTCAAGCATGGCCCCTTGCAGTACTCAAGCAGCAAAGTTCAGCCATACCTGACAAGTGGTTACCTCCGTTCTCCACAGAGCGTAGGGCCGTGGCACTAGTCGGGCGTAGGGAACAGGCAGGTTTAGAGTTGGGGTTTCAGGCTTCTGGGCTCCTCAGGTTCAGAGTTCAGGTTTAGGGTTTCGGTTTAGGGCCAAGGTTTCAGGCTTAGGTTTAGGGTTTAGGTTTTGGGTTGAGGTTCTCAGGAAATCCATCGGGGCTGGCCGTAATCATAGGACGCGTTTACTAATCCACCCATCATGTGTCAACCTGTATCTGTTTATCAGAATATGTTTACACACCTGCACGTATATGAGTGTTGTCCCACAACCCCTCCCCCCTCACATCTTCACGCCTTCAACCTTTCAACCCTTACCACTTTTACCCCCTCACCTCCATTGCTGAACGCAAATGCGCCCACGATGGCTTCCCACGTGCGACCCTGAACTTATTCCCAAGTCTTTCTCTCTCTCTCGCTCCGGTAATGGCGGTCCATCCGCCTGGCCCAAAGTGTGTCTTTCTTGGCCTGATCTCTGTCATACAAGAAAGGGCGGGTCACACAGAAGGAATGTCAACTTCGGAGTGATCCCGGAGCATACATCAGGAGTGGTCATTGGGAATGCATTCACTTGAGGAGTGCAGTCTTCGGATTTATCCAGAGTTTGCATTGACGTTAAACCCAGAAAAGTCCTTTTCAAGACAATTCTCAGGGACCTCACGAAAAAAACCTCATACACCATGTCATACGTGACTTCACTGCCAGGTCTAGATTTTGCTGGGTCTATTTCTCAGGAAAACGTGGACCGATGTTCAACGCCAGCTGACCTCAGACCTCCGGAGAATCCTTCTGGTGGGCCTTGCTTCATGTTTAAACACCCCTTGGTCAAACCATCTTTGGGCCCCCTGAGTAATTGGACCCAAATGCGTGAATCCATTTTACCCTGAGCAATTTGCCGTCGACCTGCAAGGATCCTGATGGCATCCGATTTCATGCAAATGTAAAGTCGAGAGACAGAAATGGTGTGCTTTGGACAAATATTGTTGCTTCCGTAAGCGGAATTTCAGGCAATACCTCCGCCATATACTCCGCATATAATCTGAACAAGATTGGCATACCTTACACCTCCGGGAAGGAATCTGGAGTTTTTTGGGGACCACAGATGTTTCGAGTTCGCGAACCTTAAAGACCGTCCCCCTTTTTTAAAGTGCCCAAAACAGCACACAAAGCTCTGCGAAAAGACGTGTCCCTGGTCCACCATGGCGCTCAAAGTTCAAATAAGATATGGAACCACCAAATTGAACTGGTTCGATGGTTTCAAAGTCACAACAAGCCAGAAAGGGCACGGTCACAGGAAGCAAAGGCACACAAGTTTGGACTTGGAATCCTTTGGCTCATATCAACTTACCTCCGAGTTGTGTTCCCCCTTTTTTGCTTGACTCATCTCCGAGCGGCGCAAGATCCGGTCGAGCCTCTCCAAGTCGTAGTTGAAATGATCCAGACTCTGAAGGCCTGGGAGGGCCTTCTCGTCCCGGAACGCTGTCGTGCTGCCCATGTCGGGAAACCGGAAGCCTCTAAAGTCAGACACGAGCACTTCTCCTGTACTCTTGAGCCAAGCGGAAACGAGAGACCGCGGAAACAAGACAGGTCTTTGGGTCGTTGGAAAGTGCTCACCCAAAGGGAGTACATCTTTGACCTTGTACGTCAAAAAAGGCCCAGCTGTTTGCTGCAACCACAATTTGTACGATTGTGCTGCCAGTCTGACACTAAGAAGTGAGTAGTTCAGAAACAAATGCCCTTTTCAGATGTGGTTAAAAGGAAAATGAAAAGGCAACCACGTCCAAGCCATGTTTGGACACACCCAAGTGACTAAGTGGCTAGCAATACGAACAGAGGTAAGGGGCGAGTTCTTGAGCCCAGCCATCAGAATAGCCTCACCGTTCCAGCTACCTTGAGAGATCATTGTGACAAAAAGCGCAGAACCACCCATGTGCACACATGCACGCACACAAACCGAAATTTGCAAACCGCAATGCCACCTTGGTCAAAGGAAAACTACCACACCATCCTTTGGCCGTTTCGACTCATCGCCCGCTGAACGGTTCAGCAACTCCACCAATTAATTGCTGTTCATTGCTCTTTCTGATTGGTAGTCTTGGGGCGGCCTTTGCATTTACAATGGTTGGATCTGCGAGTGATTCCGGATGGGTGGTTTGGATTTTAAAGGGCGGCTTCTGCAAGTACCCTCAATTGCAAGGTGTGCAAATGCTCAAACTAATAGCCGCTGAGGGTAATCTGATTTTCTGCCACGGCGATCGATGAAAAGCATCATGTTTATGTCAAATCTGCAGCAAGCCCTGGCTTGTACTACTTTCTGGGTTACTGCAAATAGCCCCATGCAAATCGAAGCCAGAAGCACCCACCCACCCGGTGCCCTGCGCCATTGTCCAACCCTTTGAGACAGTCGCCGCATTCCCACAGGCCTCATGGAACACAGTTGCTCCCTCAAGAGAAAAACGTTGTCCCAAAGGCAGTCTTGACGCAAACCAAAAGCAAAAAAGAAAAAAGAAAGGCTCCTGCCTCCCGCACTCGCGCGACGGCGATGGAAGCTCCCTGCACCTGTGAGCAGAATTTCACATGTAAGAGCACGCCAAATGAAAGCCATGGACCACCGGACCAGATTTCGAGGCTGACCGATGGGAACGGGAGCATTTCCCCCTCTCATTGGAAGCAGATCGGATCGGATGATTGGGGGGGAGGAAGAACCAGTGTGGGAGCAGCAGACGGCCGTTCCCTCGAAACTCCCGCATCAAGGACTTCAACATGGAGAAACACAAAGGACCCAAACCCGACCTGCTCGAGGGATTCTGACTGAAGTCTTCTGAAAACGGGTCTTCCTAGTCCTTTGGCCCCTTCTTTCCTCGACAAGTTCGACATACCCCACAACAGAACCAAAAGCATTGCCACTTCTACCGGGCCTTGACAAACGTTGTTCCAACGTTTGGTTGTCCCACACGCTACTGCCACTCTTGGAAGAAAACCAAAAGACTGTTGGCCTGCTAGGTGTTTGCTTCGAAAATCGGGGGACCTTCGCGTTCTACTCCCCCGTTTTTGGACCAGCCCGTGTTGCGGTCTAACCTATACGACACGCTTGGACCACCAGGAGTACCCCAAAACCAATCCAAACTGGACAAGGTCTTGAACACTGCAAAGCATAAACAAGTGTCAAACTTATACCAGTTTAGATTCTTTTGTCAACTGTGTGAACGCTGAGCATGCTCGGCCAGTTGCCGAATGCTTTGAAACTGTTTCGCAAGATATGAAATCATGGTGACAGCTTCCAAAAATACTGCCGAAGTTGCTGCAATCACAAAGACTTTCAGGTGTGCACTAAATGGCAGACATCTTTCGAGAAGTAGTTTCGGTGAACATATGTCAAACAATGTACGGATCGCTTGCCTCAGCAGCGATGAACAGTTTCTGCAAAATCGCACTCAAGTCCTGTCGCTAGGCTTGATGAAAAGAGTTTGTCTCTATGTCTTTTGAGTGACTGCCAAAACCTGATTCACACAAGAGTTGGCAAAGACGACTCACACATCGGGGTCTCAAGTATAAGCGCACCAAACGCCTGGCCCGGTTTTTTTCATTTCCATGGCTTGGTGTTGACGTCTGGGGAAGGGGGGGTTGGGGCAACATGGAAGGCCGCCCAATCGGCGGCTGAACGGGACTCTCCAAATGGTGTCCTTCGAAAGGATCCTTACAACCATCACGAAACGGGTCGTGTTGATGCTTGCCTATAACTCCAACCTCAAAACATCAACCCAGCCAACAGGCATCTCACTTGAAGGTGATGTTCAAGCACACCAACACCGGAAATACAGGGGCCCCTGACATGGAGCCATACCGCTTTTCCAATCTTGAGAGTTCTCATACTTTGAGGAAAACTTCACATGCGCAACAGGTGGGAACCCAAGAACTTGCGCTGCTTTCCCTTCGAGCGTAGAGCCACATACCCCAAAATCAGGGAGCATACCTGAAAAAATTGGCGGCCGTTCTCTTGGTTCCGAATAGACCGCGAGCTAAGAACCACGTCCGGCATTTCTCTCCATGGGTCCCACCGGCTGCCAGGGCTGCAGCTGCCAGTCCGGGGCCGGCGCGGGGATTTGTTTCGCCTGCGCGAGCCGAAATTCCAAGTCTTGCTGGTGCGATAGGAAATGAGTTGGAATGAACCCAGGCTTTGGTCCACTTAAAAGAAACCACTTGAGTGGTTTACAAGGGTCATTCCCGCATTCCCTACTGAGCACCAGCAAGAAGTTGCCCAGTTGGGTGGTTGCTTGGCGACAGGAATGGCACTTGCTCGGCCTTGTCCTACATGAAGCCCAAATGAATTCAACCGCTTTGGAGTGTCCCTCATTTTCACACAGCCAAGTGAGTTGCTGATCAGTTCGCCAAAGGTACGAGCACGATCGTTGCAACTGGATCGTCCAAAAGATGTCTTAAAGTCGCTCCATGTGCTTGCAGAACTGGCTCAGCTCCTTAGCCTCCCTGAGGAAGTTGGATACCAGCTCCTCTCCCTTACCACAAGCTACATGCAAGCTATAGCAATCCGGATGGGTCGGGTAGGTCTGCAGGTTCGTCTGATCAGATGTTTGCGGCCCCAAATCCATTTGTTTGACAATGTCTGCGCTTTTTGCGGCACAGTGCCCTTTTCAGGTATCAAGGGGAAACCGAATCACCTTTTTGGGGGTCAAGAATTACTCGCTCAAGAATGGGAATCGTGATTTGGCGGATCAATGGTTTTGGGGGAGCCGGGATTTTACACAGGCATCTGGGACCGCTTGAAAAGCGTGGCAATAGTCAATGGCGCTCGAAACAAAGACGGTGCCCCACATCCCGACTCGCTCCTCTAGTTCAGCAGTGCTCAAAGCCAATTGATCTTTGGTTCGATGGCTATGCAGTCTGCCGAAAGCGCAAACACCATTGAACCCCTTTGAACCCTGAAACCCATGAAACCCACCCCTGAAAACGTTTTTGGCCATGAAATCAGTACCACCGATCTGGCCAGCGCCAGGAATCTGTTTTGGGCACACCCGAACTTCTCCAGCCTCCAGCGCTCGGATGGCACTGAACCTGGGTCGGACTCCAACGCCGGCGTCCCACCTCTTCTGGCCCTACGAAGAATCGGCTCCCTCTTCAAAGGTGGCTTGGCGCCCACTGGTTTGGGAGAAAAGGTGATTTTTCGCATTTACCCTGAACCAAAAAGTTCAGATCCCCAAACCAATCCAGAAAGCTTTTGGAACCACTCGGGAAGCACCGGACAAACCGCAGAAAAGCGCCGCCTCCGACCCGAAGAAACACCACCAAAATCCCCCAAAGCAGCCGCATCCGACGCAGCATCCCACACCGAGCACTCGGCGCAGGGATGCTCTGCTGCAAGTCCTGCGCTGCGGGCTGAGTTTTGTTGGGTTTCAAAGTTCCAGAGAAACCTTCCTTGAGCTTCCCTTTGGTTTCCCAACCTAAAACAGGGCTCCTGAAAGACATCCAAAAACCAGCTGCTTTACAAGGGGCTAGTTGGCAAAGGTGCTTGTTTGTTTGACTGTGGAAAACCCCCAGAGTTTCCAGACCTAAAGCCGTCCACGGCAACGGTGGCAACGTGTCCCTTTGATACCCACCAGAACATTCCAAGTGTTTTGAGACATGCCCATATTTGCACCTTGGAAAACCGCAGATCCCGCCTGGAGATCCAAAAGCAGACCCTCAAAACAGACCTTCGGAATTCCCAGACCGCCAGTTGGTTTGAACCCAACTGTGCAACCATCGGCTTGACCCGGTAATCAGCTCTGCCTCCTATGTTGGCTGACTTTTGGGATGAAGAGCAACCAACCAAGATTGAACAAACCACGCCAAATCCTTCCCAACCAATGCAACCAAACAATCCATGCAAGGTGGCCACCCAGGCCCCCCCCCCGGCCCCCAGCTCCCTCCCCAAGCGGGTCCAGCGCATGCGCCAGACTCGCGGAGCTGAGCTCCGGCGCCGCGAACAGCGGCGCCGGCGTCTGAGCCCGGGGCAAAGGATTGAGTGGAAGGCTCCGCCCCGTGCATATATAATCTAGTGTATAATACCAGTGAATTCATCAAAAAGGTAGGTCCCTGGGGGGGGTACCATATATATATATATATATATATATGTGTGTTCATCAACGTGTTTCTCTATCTCTCTAGCTCTGTTTATGTTAGTGATCCCATGTGCCAGTGGAATAAGAGTGTAATAATACTTATAGATGTATAGATATACACGTGGATGGCAACAAGCTGGTCGGGGAGATGTGAAGATCACAGAGTGATCAGTAAGCAGCGCATGCTGCGAACTCACAAAACCAATTTGAGCAATCCCCTCGAGGTCCCCTAAAATAGTCCTTTTGACTTCCCTCGAGAAACTACCATTTCATGTGCGTGTGCTTCTCTTTGCAATCCCGCGATATGACTCGTATGCAGGCCAAGACAGTCTAGGAGTGAGTCTTCCCCTTCAAAAGGAAGCCCATGTCACAATGAGCCAAAAGGTGATCTTGATCGCCCATGGAAACATGTATATATATATATATATGTATCTATGTATGTGTACATATATCTATATATGTGTGTGTGTGTTTCAAACATGGACCCTCCAACTGGCGGGTTTACATTTCTGTCCCTACAAAATCACCCAAGGGACACAACAAACATCCAAAAGGGAATCACCTGACGACCACCCCCGGTTTGTCTCTCTCTCGGCGCCAAGTGCTCTGCCGTTTCCAGCGTGGGCTGCAAGTCCTACCGGACACAAAAACACGGAACCCGGGCGACCCTCCCTGAATGAAGCGTTTGAGACCTGCCAAGTTAGTGGTTGGGAGCTTCGGGAAACCAAACTTGGGGAGCTTCGAGCTGGCTCACAACCAATCTCGCATTGAGGAAATCATCAGGAGTTTGGCGCCACCAGCAGCAACGGGGTCAATGACAAAGCGCTCTCTTTTCTGAAGCTGATTTGTGAGCTGAAGAAAAGTCGTCAAGGGCTCCTTGATTCTACTGCAAAATCTCGCCTTCCTTTGCATTTCGCAGTTTGGTTGCGCTGGGTGGGCTTCAATGCTGCTGGATCCATGTGTGGAATGACATGCCATTGGAGCCTCTCGCGAGATGAAGAGCCCCTCGTTGCCTACAAGGCCCTTGTGCCCCTGTTGGAAGCTTTGCATACCTCGAGGAACTGACTCCACTTCACTTTCAGGGGGCTTGCATACATCAGGGGAGAACAGGGCCATCCTAAAACACAATCCCTCAAAATATTGAATGACAATAATAACGACGAGGCAAAGGCTCGCTTCTTCGCTGTTGGAATCCTGATAACCAACCAGCTCGCCGCAATCAGTCCAGAGCGTCCAGGTTCAACGGATGCTGCAACGTGGCATCCAGGCCTCAAGGTCCCCCGTCCTTTTGCCACTTTGTTGGTTGCCTGGTTGGCTCCAACCTGGTTGCTTGGTTGGTTGGTTGGGTTGGGTTGTGTTGGGTCGGGTTGGGTTGGGTTGGGTTGGTTGGTTAAGAACTTGGGAACCGGACACCTTTGGTTTTGGTGGCCCACCAGTTGTCCAATAGTTTGAAGCACAGCCCCAACTCCGAACAGGTTGGCAAGAAGTCCGCATGTTCTGTGCAAGACTTTGCCAAAGGGCTGATGAACCTGCTATGAGCCCCGTCAGCGCACAAGACTTTGCCAAGAAGCAGATTGCCGTCCCTCACCAAAGGGCAATGATAGTCCGGTGATTCATGGGGGGTCCTTGGCCAAGGAGATGGAAAAACGCATGCCAAAACCTGCCCAAAACCCACCGAATCCTCAAGTCACACATTGGGTCCGCTACCGCTGCGAAAGGAGAGACGTCCAACGGTCTCAAAAACAACGTCAGGGGTCGAACACGTTTCCGTTGGGTCATGTAAACATCGCCCTTGATGCTAAGGGGACATAAGAGGAATCCTGAGCTTTCATTTCCTTGGGAGATGTACAGGGGATAACAAAGCCTAAGATTTTAGAAGACCTCCTTGGGTCCCCGACTGCGGCCGCGCTTGTGGGAGAGGTGGCCCCAGGCCCGCCCCTGGGTCAAGGTGGGTTGGCGGCTGGGGCCCCTCGACTTCACTGGGCAAACAGCTGGTTTGAAGATGCGTTCCAAGCAGAGAGAAACAAGGCTTCGGGGTTGACCCATAGAACCTTTTTGATTGGCAGAAATGGAAGAGCGCTTGCCGGCATGTGGGCGCAAGTCCGCAGCTTAGCGCTTTACAGCTTTAACCAACAAAAGATCCGTCTGTTTCTCTCTCTCTCTCTCTCTCTTTCTCTAGGTCTCAAAGATGTCTGAAGCTCAGATCTTACATGCAACGAGTCCCATGCAAGAAGAAGCCTGCTGGAGCCAGGACTGAACTTCCAGCGACTCCAGCGGCTCGACGCCCCCCGCGCCTCCGGCGGTGACGCCGGCAGCGTGGACGCCGGCGAGGCCTCGCCAAAGTCCGGCGCCGCCGGCATCGCCGAGCCGCAGATCGCCGGGGCATCCAGCTGCAGCCCGTCCGGCAACGGGCGCAGGCCCAGTGCGCCAGCCTGGGTACATGGAGAGGCGGTACACAATGCTGTGGGACTTGATCCGGGCTTCAAGGGTGCGGATTTATTTTGGGATTTTTTTTCGTTTTTTTTTGGGATTTTTTTTTCGTTTTTCGTCCGGGCCAGCAAAATGTCGTATTTTACAGCATTTTCTCGCGAAATTGACGCATTTTACACTAGCTCGTCAACATCCCCAGCATCGTTTTCAACATCCCCCGCATGTCCGACCAACATCCCTAGCATCACCAACAAATCGTGGGTAACAAAATCCAAAAATGTAGCTGGCGGGTTGACGGGGTCAAAACAATAACGCTTCAAACAGGAGGGCATTTCAATCCCAGCAAAAAAAAATACAAAAAAACAATTAAGAAAAACAGAGCGGGGTAGTGATGATTCGAACAGGGGTGCAATTAAATCTCTGCAAAAAGTCTAAAAAGTAGCGGGGGGGTTGGGGGGGGCGGCAGCCCCCCCATGATGTTCGAAGAATTGATGATTCAACTAGGGGTGCAATTAATTAAATCTCTGTAGAAAATCTAAAACGTAGCGGGGGGGTTGGGGGGGGGCGGCAGCCCCCCCATGATGTCGGAAGAAGTGGTGATTCAAGTAGGGGTGCAATGATTCAAGAAAGGGTGTGATAGAATTTAACAGGCAGCGGGAGGGTTGGCGGGGGTGGCTTCCCCTATGATGTTCGAAGAAATGCATACATACAGACATACACGGACTACACAGATTACCTAAAATGTCGTATTTTGCAGCATTTTCTCGCGAAATTGGACGCTCGAAAAAGTGATGATTCAAACAGGGGTGCAATTCAATCTCTGCCGGGCCAGTAAAGTGTCGTATTTTACAGCATGTTCTCGCGAAATATACCCGCATGTCCCGCCAACATCCCTAGCATCACCAACAAATCGTGTGACGGGGTCAAAGAAATGATGATTCAAGTAGGAGGCCATGTCAATCCCTGTAAAAAATACATAAAAAGTAGCGGGGGGGTTGGGGGGGGCGGCAGCCCCCCCCACGATGTTGTTTGCAGAAGTGATGATGTCGGAAGAAGTGGTGATTCAAGCAGGGGTGCAATGATTCAAGAAAGGGTGTGATAGAATTTACAAGGCAGCGGGAGGGTTGGCGGGGGTGGCTTCCCCTATGATGTTCGAAGAAATGCATACATACAAACATACACGGACTACACAGATTACCTAAAAAGTCGTATTTTGCAGCATTTTCTCGCGAAATTGGACGCTCGAAAAAGTGATGATTCAAACAGGGGTGCAATTCAATCTCTGCCGGGCCAGTAAAGTGTCGTATTTTACAGCATGTTCTCGCGAAATATACCCCGCATGTCCCACCAACATCCCTAGCATCACCAACAAATCGTGTGACGGGGTCAAAGAAATGATGATTCAAGTAGGAGGCCATGTCAATCCCTGTAAAAAATATATAAAAAGTAGCGGGGGGGTTGGGGGGGGGGCGGCAGCGATGTCGGAAAAAAGCCACCTGCCGAAGAGGAACTGGGAATGCAGAGGATGCGAAAAGCCAAAAAGCCACCAAAAGCCGCATAAACCAGCAAAAAGCCGAAAAGCCTAGAAGCCCAGAAGCCGAGAAGCCAAGAAGCCGAAAAGCCAAGAAGCCAAGAAGCCAAGAAGCCAAGAAGCCAAAAAGCCAAGAAGCCCAGAAGCCGAGAAGCCGAGAAGCCAAGAAGCCAAGAAGCCGAGAAGCCAAGAAGCCAAGAAGCCGAGAAGCCAAGAAGCCAAGAAGCCAAGAAGCCAAGAAGCCAAGAAGCCAAGAAGCCAAAAGCGAAGAAGCCAAAAGCGAAAAAAATTCCCAAAAAAAACGAAAAAAAATCCTAAAATAAATACCCCTCCCTTCTTGTCTTGACCCCCCTGCAATTTCAGAAACCCAACAAGGGGTCCCCCTAACAAATCGTGGTGGGGCTCCGTCTTTCCTCAAGTGAACAAAGCACCTGCGGGAACGTGGAGAATCCAGCTGCGCTGCGTGTCTTCGAGCTCGAAGAGCGAGGGCAACCCTACCCGTAGGGTATACCGCTGACGTGTTTTGTTGCATCAGCATTGCCTGCATCACCTGCACGGGCTTCTGATGCCAGGTTGCCCGACCTTCAAAAAATACTGTAAATACTGTGCAAATCGCCCCGGAGAGTTGCCAGCATCCCCGCCAACATCCAGTGTGAGACATGAGCAGGGCGCGCACGCGCGCGCCGGACGCAATCGCCAGACGCAAGCAGGCACACATGCACTCAAGCTAGGGTGGGTGAGTGCATGCTCAGTGTCAGGGGGGTCCTTGCGCGTGCTTGGGTGGTCCGGAGGTCAGGCTCTGAAACAAGGTCCCACCTGTCCGACCGGCCAGCGCAGCTGGTGATGGCGAAGGCCTAGGATAAATGTCCTCTTGCAGATCTGGCGTCTCCTCCTCACCCGTGGAAATTGTGCTGCCCCCCACCTGTTTTTGTTTTGCATCGACTTCTTTGTTCTGCGGGGGTGAGGATTAGCCTTGGGGTTGGTTTTGCCCTCCAAACATGGAAGTGCCCAGTTGCACGGTGGCCCAAAAAAGGTTGGTGTTTTCCAAAAGGGATCTGTGCACTCTCATGTTTATTCGTGGGAAGGCAAGCTATTAAAGACGAAAGCTTGTCCACTCCGCATCGTCAAGCATCCCCCGAAATCCCAACGCGAGAACCGATCAGGGAATGGGTGGGAGGAAGGGTACCCTGACAGTGATTTCGTTGGTTGGGGAGGCTACGTGTACTGGCAAACCATACCCCTTTGGCTACATGCCACCTTTGTATGGGGTATTTAGCTTTGAGCCATGAGAAGCACACCCAAAACAGGGCTTGTGATATCAAGGAGGATAATAATTGTCAACAACGCTCAGATCATGGTGGTTGCAGCCCTCTCAACACTGTCACAAGAATCCAGGATTTGCAAGCCCTGGTTGGTGTATAGGGAGTCGCCCACTTTCAATGACATCCTTTCAAAAGGTGGGAAGCACCCCGAAAACAATCCGCCAGGTTTCGGCATGCCCCCACCTTGATCTCACCCGCTCGCCTCGATTTCGGCCACCAGGCGTTTAGGGTGATCCTGGAAAAAAAAAGAAGAAAAAAAAGGAGAGAAAAAACGCGCAACGCGCCAAGTGGCACAAAACGAAGCTTCCAGCTGTTTCCAAGCGGTGAGCTACAAGGACATGAGTGGAGCTGGTTTCGAATTCATTGACAAGTGGGTATGTGACAAAACCAGGAAGCATTTGCTTGGCCTTGTTCTACAGTAAGCCCAAACGAACTCAACCGTTTTGACGTGTCCCTCATCTTGACACAGCCTCGTGAAATGTTGATCAGTTCCTTCACCCATGGCACGAGCGCGACGATCGTTCCAACTAGTTCGTCCAAAGATGCCGTCTTAAAGTCGCTACCATGTGCTTACAGAACTGCTAGCTCCTTAGCTCCCTCTTGACAGAGCTCTGTAGCTCCCCTCCAACCGCGAGCTAGGTCGCCAAGCCGTCAACTGGTGGATTTTACATGCGCTACAGGCAATCTGGATGGGTCGAGCGCGCAGGTCTGTGGCAGGGTCGTGCGGGTCAGGGATGCTTCCGGCCCCTCAGTGGGTTGGCTGGCTGGCTGGCTGGCTGGCTGGCTGGCTGGCTGGCTGGCTGGCTGGCTGGCTGGCTGGCTGGCTGAATGGTTGGTTGGTTGGTTGGTTGGTTGGTTGGTTGGTTGGTTGGTTGGTTGGTTGGTTGGTTGGTTGGTTGGTTGGTTGGTTGGTTGGTTGGTTGGGTGGTTGGGTGATTGGTTGGTTGCGTGCTTGCGTGCTTGCGCGTGCGTGCGTGCTTGCTTGCTTGCTTGCTTGGCTGCTGGGTGCCGGTGTCGAGACTCTAACTCCTATCGCTCTCTCTACTTTTCCCATATTGTGGATGTTTTCTCTTCAGCATACCCGTATTGGATATCCTTCACCACAAGGAAGCCACCGTTTCATGCGGCGCCCGATTCTCGCGCAAGCAGCGCACGGATCCGCGCCTGCTGGTCCGCCGCCTGCTCCGGAGACGCGGAGCTCACCGCATCACCCCACAAGGAAACTCATTTGTGATAGGCCCAACAGGCAGCGTTTAATTCCAACGGAAATCTGGGGACTAGAGGAGTCTCTTCCAACATGGACGGCTTACGATTTCAACAGGCCCCGACTTCAGGAGGACGAGGGCTTTTCCCTTTTCCGGCTGTTGAACAAAACACGGCAGCGGTTTGGTCAAATTTGAGGTTGAATTCTGTGGGGAAAGGGCCCATCCAGGGCAAAGAAACAAAGCATGGTCGGGAACTTTCACTTACGCTCAAATGCCTTGGTTTGGTAGCTTCAAAAACAGAAACACCAAATAATAGAGAGGTCAAAATGGAACCCCCTTCTTTGTGAGGGCACCATGAACCGACAAAGGAAGTGAGGCCCTTTTTTCGTCCACATCATTTGTTTCGCCTCAAAGACCTGTCTTTCCTTAAGCATTCCCGACCCTATCATGTGGCCACTTCATGTTGAAAGGACCCACTTGTCGGGGGCTTGAATGGAAACCAAATGCTAGACGCAACCAGCGCGTCCCACCCGGCGCATCCAAGTTGCCTTGGTGTCAGGCGTTGCCTCGGGAGCCTACGGCAAGTCGGCACACGGGAGCTTCCCTCCGAAAGGTTTAGTTTGGTTCATTCGGTTTGGTTTGCTTATTTGGTTGGCTGGTTGGGTTGGGTTGGGTTGGGTTGGGTTGGGTTGGGTTGGGTTGGGTTGGGTTGGGTTGGGTTGGGTTGGGTTGGGTTGGGCTTGGTTTGGGCTTGGTTTGGGTTGGCTTGGGCTTGGGCTTGGGCTTGGGCTTGGGCTTGGGCTTGGGCTTGGGCTTGGGCTTGGGCTTGGGCTTGGGCTTGGGCTTGGGCTTGGGCTTGGGCTTGGGCTTGGGCTTGGTTTGGTGTTGTTGGATGCCGGGCAAATGCCGCCACCTTTGGTTTGTAAGAACCCACCGTGGATTTGGCCTCAACAAGAACCAGGGGTTCAAATCCACAAACCAAGCCAAAGCACCATGTAGGGGCAGCCTGAATGAGGGGGCATGCCTCCAGAAACAAGCGCGTCCTGGAGTTGACGAGGTGGGGTTGGAGTTTGCCATCGACGCCGGCCAGCCGGCCGGCCGGCCGGCCAGCCAGCCAGCGAGCCAGCCAGCCAGCCAGCCAGCAAGCAAGCAAGAGAGTGACCGAACTGGCCAGCAAAAAGGAAAGCTGGCTTGCCAACTGACCAATCCACACAACAACAAAGAACAACAGCGTCCACGGCACTATATGATGAACACTAGATAACACCTACCAACGCTAAGAAACATGTAACAGCCCTGTGGAGCACATACCAGCACGAACAACAAACAAACAAACAAACAAACAAAGAAAGGGGCCTGAGAACCTTCGAGGACAAGCCGCACTTACAGCCAACAAACAGCAACCAGCACCACACAACCAGCTGAAAAGCCATCAGCTAACGGCCGACAGCCACCAACCGTCAACAAGCAACAAACAAGCCAACCGCAACTGCAAGCGCAGCCGCAAGCTCCACCACCACCACCTTCCTCTTAGGCCCAAGGTCTCAAAACGCCGACCCCCAATGCACCCTGCACACCAACGCTACTTCCAGGACTGCACCGCGCTTCTTTGATTCTTCAGATCAACCCGCACAAAGCCACCAGGAGCCACGGGGCCATGAAACAAGATTTCACTCTCTGTCTCCCCACTGGCCTCCCTCCGGACCGGCAGCTCAGCCACCAACCTGCTCACAGCGGACAAATCAGCAAATGGAAGTTCGAAACGTTGGCCCAGATAAGCCGGATCTCAACATTGGTCCGAACCCAGTTTTGCATGCGCCACCTTTGAAGGAGGTTATGACCAAACAAAGGTCGCCAATTTGTTTGGTCGATCCACGTCTTCATGCTGGTACTTGCTTGCTGCCGACCTTCAGACGCGTTTTCAGCCAAAGCCCGGGTTCAAAGTTTACAGCAAGAATCAAACAGTCGAACAAACCAAAAACGGCGCCAACCACACCAATCGTAGCAAATGCCCATGTTGGGGTGTCCAAAATGGGGGGGGTCGCAGGCGCTCCTTGGAAAAGGGAAAACAACTCCATTTTTGAGGAGACCCTTCGGCCCACCTCTCTGGGCGCTGCACGGCCGCGAAGAGGCCAGTAAGATCCACAAAGTCCCTGAGCAGAAAATAAGCCTCTTTCTTTGGATCAAAGTTTGACTTTCAAGAAGTCCCAAAAGCCATGCAGAGTCTTCTTGCGGCAAGCGTTCCTCACCTACTTCTTTCTGGTTGAGACTGTCCGCCCCCCAAAATATTATATATATATATATATATAACTGGCCAGGTGCTCCATTGAATCTTCAGAAATCGGCACAAAGACCCTTGGCAAAGAAAAACAATGACACAACAAGTTTGACACACAAATGTCGGGCTTACAGCAGACAAGATTGTTGGTCTCCCAAAAAGAAGCCAACCAGCTCATGAGAGCCAGAGTGAGAGTGATTCCTGGTTCACCACTCTTCCAAAATGACAGGGGAGCATTGCCCTGGTTGCTGTGGCAAGTTTGACCCTCATCACACCGAAAGACTCTTCTCTGGATCCATACATAGAGTCCTTGCACCTGAGCAAACCCCCCGTTTGAGAGACCGAAACTGGACTCGAAACAAATCCAATATGAGAACTCCCAAGGCGAATCTGTAAAGTGACCATTTGATTGCTCCTCTGATGAGCCTCCCATATGTCGAATTCACATTCTCGGGGCTTTAGTGGTTTCCCTGGGCCGAAATTAGGGCTCGCTTGAGGGCTTGGTTTTTTTTGTTCTTGGATTCCCTCCTGGGGCCCCGATTACAAAACAGAACCTTGTTTCCGGCCCCAGCTGTGACTCCAACAACAAACACCAGGGCCCCGAGAGTGTCTACTCACTTGCTTGGTGGAGACTCCAACATGAGGAAATCCAAAATAGAAACGCTAATGCAATTTCAAACAAAAAAAGAGGTTCCCTCTGATGGCAACATTCAAAAGTCATCATCTGAATTTGTGCCCAAAATAGTTAGCTTCTGAGCAAGCGCCAAAAAGGATGCCCGGAAAAGCCCGTACTTCTCGAGAAATCCTCTCCAGGTGGCTGCTAGCTTTTTCATTGCCTTTGAAAACCAGCCCAAAAAGGAGCTCCCCATTTTTGGACAACATGAGGACTCAGCGTTTCCTTAGGTCTCAAGGGCCCAGGGGCGTGACACCCCTACAACATTCCACCTTCCCTGAAACCTTCGGCTTTTTGTGGATGCTTCTTGTGAATCCTGTTGCCAACAATCCTACCAGACAACCAATTGGCCCTGGTGGGGTGATTCAAGAGAGGGCTTTTTGGGCACCTGGGCATGCGAAAATCCCAACGGACTGACCCCCGAGACCCGCCCCAGGCGAGGGTCGCTTTTCCAGCTCCGCCGGTGCCCACCGGGTCAAAGTCCGCCAAGTCTGAAAAGTCCTGGAGCCCCCGGGACTGACCCGAGCTAATGGATGGTTTATAAGGGTGGAGGGGGTGGAGGGGGGTGCAGGGTGCATTCTTGTTTTGTTTGCAAATTCTGTGGCCCGAAAGTGATTTTGATAGACCACATGAAAGAGCCGATCAAATGCCAAAGTTGGCCAAGAGAATCACTCCGTGCCTCTGCCTCGTTCGTGGGATAAGTGAGTGACAAAATGTGTGGCATGAGGTGTAGTGTGGCAACACTCGTGAGTCCCCGTTCTATTGTTGCCAATGATTGGTCATCCCTCCTCCGGAGTGTTTGTCGGAATGTCACGACCGATCACGACATCCCCCCAGACAAAACAGGGACACCCTAACTTTCCCATGCCCATTGCGGGGTAGCTTAAGAGTGGCTGACATATGATCATGAGACTCTAAGTGGGCCCCAAGAGGTAACCCTATGAATATGTATATATACATATACAAATATGTATATATATATATATGGGTAGGGCAGCTGAAAACTCTTTCCAATATGGTTAGAATCAGCCAAGGGTCAACTCAAGTCCCTTTTGTGAGCAACCCGGCCTTCCTGGCTTCCTAAAGGGCCGTGGGTTCTCTAAGACCCAAAGCCCAATCCCAACAACCCAAAGGACAAGTCTTTAGGGTCAATTGCGACCATGCTCCAGGCGCTCAGTCTAAAGAAATGGATGATCTTGTCAATGTTTACCCTCTTCAGGCGCTTCCGCGAAGGGAGTGAGAATTGGCTCACACTCGGTATGGACCCGGAAGCTGGGTTCATCCTTCAAGAGCTCATATTGTTTGATTCCCTAGAGAATAGACAGAAAGTGGTGAAGCGGCCAGAAGAAGCTTGATTGGCATGGGCATCACGCAATTTCCTTCCGTGGCCAAAAAAACAATGGTAAAAGCTTTCCACGAAAACCCCCCAAAAAAAAAACGTGCTGAAACGCTCTAAAATCAAAAACAAATGAATTTTGGACATGTGCCAAAAAAGGGGAACCCCAAAAAGATTGACTTCCTTGTGCGTAAAAAGCGCACCCTCCACAAAGCGCACGCCCGTACGATTGTCCGTTGGGTGTTCGTGCAGTGTCCCCTGACAGCTCCTCACGCTGCGCCAGCTGCACAATGTCGTCCCCTGGCAGCGCAGGCCCCCCACGGCCAAAGCGCTTGGCTCTGAGCTTCTTACCCAGAAACCTCAGAAAACCAGAGACTTGAAGAAGGGTACCTGTGTCTCTTTTGAGGGCACCCCCTTTGGGCTGGTTTTTCAAGGGTGCAGCTTCCAGGGTGATTCAAAAAGTACGCCCAAGTGCGCTTCACAGGGGCACTGTAGCTCCCAGTGACAAGCTGGACATGTTCTGGTGGCTTCACCTGAAACTGTCACGTTTGTCAGGTCCAAAAGTCCAAAAACGGGAATCTGAAAGACCCGAGCTTCACAAGGCCCAGCCACAAGCTTCATGGAGCCAGGACTGGAAAGTATTCACTGATGGCAACACCTCCAGGGGCGAAAGCAGCTGGCATCGAGAAAATAACTCCTTGATTGTCAGAAAAGCCTCCGGTGTCTCTTGTTCATGAATCAGAACCCTTTCGTTCCTAGTGGCATCTCAGAAAATTGCCCTGAATCCCGAGCTTCCAGCATGTTCTTGTTCGTTTAGCGCAATGCTCAATTGTGTCCTATCTCTTTTCCGTTTGCCGTGCAGGGAACTTGTTCCTAAGAAATTCCCACGGAACGATGTCCAGTGTTGCTATGTCTTGAGCAGCAGCCAAAGCAGTAGCAGTAGTAGTCGTCATTGTCAGCGTAGTTGCAGCAGCAGCAGCAGGAGCAATAGCAGCAGTAATAGTAATCAGAAGAAGAGGAAGAAAAGGAAGTGAAAGCAGAGATCGTAGTAGAACAAAAGTGGTAACTAAGAAAACAAAGCTGCAGTAAAGTTTGCACTTGGAATAGCTTGGAAAAAATACAGTAAGCTGCCAGCATAAGACGCCCACGGAGGCGCAGCGTTCTTTAGGTGTGCAGAGTCTTGCCGGTCTGTCAGCTGCTGACTGTCAGTGTCTTACCCTGTATGGCACAACGTGCGCATGTCCAGCATCAATCATCCCAAGACCTGCGCACCAAACAAAATATATTACAAAATACAAAATGAAAAGTAGAAAATGTGTTTACATATACATGCAAATATGTGTAGCTTTCTTTAAGGCAGCTCCCAGATTGTCTCAAACCTTACTTTGACAAGCCCACATGGAGACCTGCCAAACCTGTCCTGACACTCGCTCATGGACAGCAAGAGCTGCAACCCTCCATGAATCCCAAACACCTGGACAAGCAGAATACATGCTTGCCCCCAAACAAAAAGAGATCTACACTGCATGAATTTCCCAACACAAGTTGCCGCACCGCGATCGGAGCGCGCCTAGGCGCTTTGACGAGTTCACCCGGCGAATCGGAGTGCCTGACGACATTTCTCTGGAAGGAGACCAAGGAATCGCCCCCCGACCCAAGGAACCTTCTGGGTCCCAGGATTCTGACAACCTTTGGGGCGTTCTCTGACTCTGTTATCATACTGCAAAAACAAAAGGTCACCTCCAACAAAGGCTGCAACAGCCAGTAGATACCCCCCGTCAGATTTCAAGAAAGCTCATTACTCTGCAGTCACAAGAACCCAGTGTCTGTGTGTATGGTCAAAAAGGGGCACCCTGCATCCTTTGCTCGGCTCGGGGCCGGTGGCAGTGCCCATAGTTCATGAGACTTTCATGCATATTTTGGCTCGCACAAAGTCAGGCAAAGGTTGAGAGACAGGGGGCTGGTGGTCCCAGAAAGTTCGTGGGCCAGGGTCATGCTGCGATACGCGGAGCATCCAATGACCAGCAACTACTTCTATTCTGGGGGAAGGGATTGCTTTCTATCACACGGCGGATCACATTGCAAAGGCACCTCTTTGAGTCGAAACCAGCGAGTGAAGCAGCTTCACCCCTCTGGAGATAGCCCAGATACCCACGAAATCAAGCCACGTTGGGATCCGGTCCCGTCAATGGATTCCAGCCTCCAACTAATCCTATTCGCCATGCGACGAATCTGACCAGCTCCCACCTCCAAACCATGCAAGGCCACCGCGCTGCTTCAAACCAGCAAGAGCAAACATACACTCCTCTGAGGCCAAACATGGGTTTCCCTCGGAAACTCATCTGAAACAACAGCGGGGCGCCCATTCGGGAGCCCGAGCCTGGCGTCGGCGGGGTCGAGCCGCAGGCAGTGCCGTCTGAGCGCAAGGGGAAACGCTTGGCTCGCGAGGTTTGCCTTGACATATCCCAACGGGCAACTGTCAAAAATAAAAGTGGTGAAAACGGGGGGCATGTGGCATGGTTGTGAGAGAGTACCGCGAAACCAGGAGTCTGTGAGGGCCAACTTGAGACTTGTTTTTCAAAAGTCGTCCACGTTTGAATAGATTGTGCGGCTTGGGTATCAAGTAAGAAACACCATGCAGCGAAAGGAGCATGTGCCGTGCCCAATCAGTGATGTCATCCCAAGTAAAGGAATCTTCGTCACGTGTCTGTTCAATGGAGCTTACTGGGGTCGTCTATCAGCCTGATTGACAGTTCCCGGGTTCGCATCAAGAGGTCGTAAGATTCTCTGCGAAAGGAAGGACCTGCGGAAACACAAATGCAAGAAAGCAAGGCTGTCTCCGAAATGGCGAAACGTTTGGGAGGATCCACATGTACCACAAGGTCACCCCATTTGACACGGAACTGGACCGTGAAAGGGCTCTGCCAACTTGAAGGATTGCGCTTTGGTACCCTGTAAGTCTGCCAAGGTAGATGAACTCAAACGACGTAGCGGAGCCGGCAAAGCAAAGCACTTTCGTTTCCAGCTTCAACACTAGGTTCCACGGACCATGTGAATGGCCGAAGGATTAAATCGGCAAAGCTTCAATCGACCATCGAACACCCATCAGATTTGTGGGAAGAACAAAGCTCTCAAGACCATGTCATCCGTGTCGTGATAGCCACGCCACAAATCTCGAAGGGGTAAAGCTTGGTCCCCACAAAGAAACCAAGTCGCTGGTGGACCACTGCGAACCATTGACACCCCCGGATCAATCAACTGTCGGATGAATTTGGGGGGGGCAATTGAGTCCAGGTCTTTGTCTTTGCTCCCCCAGCCCCCGTGCACCATTCCAAAAACCACGGGGATCGCCAAAAAGAGAGAATCTAAGAAAAATATGAAACGCGGAAACAAAATATTTAGCAAACAAAGTGACATAGATGTATTCGCAGAAACCAAGGTACCATGGAAGCATTGAACCCCTCTACACCCCCAACACCTGTCAGAACCGCACGCCTGGGGAGCTCATCGCCGGGCTATGGCTCACCTCATGGATGCTGAGGATCCGTGGCACCGCCTACAGAGCTCGAGGCGAACCAGAAGACTCGCTTCAGAGATCGTCCAGTAAAAACCATGGTGAACCATGGTGAACCATTCCGCATTGTATATTCCATTTCATGTTCTACAACCCAACAAGTTGCCTGGTTTTCCATGGTGACAGAAACTCCCGATTGTTTGGCTGCTTTTGGCATTGAGGGAACTGCTTACGTCGTCCCGTGGAGACCACAAGAAGTCCGGCTATGTACTGGTTGCGCACTCCAACATGGTGCACTGAGGTATGCGTATGTCCACAGCGCCAAATAGAGAATGAGTCCCTGAGAACAAGAGAAAGGGCCTAAATCGGGGAAGTCCACAAGGTTGAGGACTGCGACAAGGGCCTATCTTCCAGGATCACTTGCTGCAATTTGAGTCCGTATTTAAGCCATTTACATCAAATATGGATGAAATGCAAAAACTGCTCTGAATCAAACAAGATGGCCAGACAACCTAGCAGCCAACATATGATATATATATATATATATATAATTATATATATACATATATGCAAATACGTATGAAAATACATATATATATATATATATATATATGTAGACATATATATATATATATCATACGCGTGCATGTGCCCGAGCTACAAAGCTGTTGCGCCTCCAGGGAGGCCAACGCCATGGCCGGAAGGCTTCGGGGCTTCGGGGCTTCGGGGCTTTCGCAGTTTCTGGCCTCTGCTTTGGTTCGCCCGGACAGTCCTTTCGAAATTTCGTCTCTGGGGCAAGCTGTGGTTGAGTGCTTTGGGAAAGGCAGAAGAAAAAGAGAAAAAAGGGAAAGAGAATGTGCTCTCTGGGCCGGCGCGGTGCGGCTGGCTTGAAGTCTGGGAGGTCCCTCTACAGCCATGCCGTTGGTTCCTTGACCTATAGAGCCCTGACTTGGCGCTCATATCTCCATAACGCGGAAGGCGGGCGTTGGAATTGCGCGTACAGGTGAACACAGACAGACCTCGAAACCTGCACTGGGTGGTGCCCTCTTCAGGGCGATGCTCAAAAGAACAAATGGAAGTCCATCGCTCCCGACAGCCCCCTGCAACGCGGCAGAAGACAACAGAAGATTGACCCTAGGAGCGTGTGAAACGGGGTCACCGAATGGGTACCGTACGGTTCCCTTTCTTTATGGTTTCCTTTGGAGGCGGACGCCCATTTTGGGTTCATCTTGAGACAACCAGAAATCAAGATCGCATCACCGCACATCCAACTCACTGGCACTCAAGTTTTCACTGGTTTTGCCAACAGAACAAACTCATTCAACTTGGCACCTGCCTGCCACAAACAGCGGTGAGAGTCCACCAGCAGATCTCATGGAAAGAGCTCCTTCCATCAGTGCGTTGCTTGTCTGCAGAGTCTCTGTGTTGGTGCGCCCAACACTTGGGAAGAAGCACGTGTGTTTGCATCTTTGTGAGTGAGTGATATTAAGAAACTGGCAATCTCCTTCACTTTTTGTGCACCTGAATCCGGCATGTGATATTCGAACCCGGAGTACTGGAGTCATGAAAGACTGACCTGAAGGGACACCCATGGTTCCAGAAAACAGAATGCAACATGTCCAAACGTTTCACTTTTTGAGCCAACGCCAAGGGTTCCACTGGACGTTCCCGACACTTGCGGCCCGAAAGCATGACGCCTACCAAAGGAAACCCAAGAACAGAGTTCCAACTCTATTTACAAAGCAAAACAAGACCCCGAAACACACTCACCGCAACAAACAAAAAGAAAAGAGTTGCCTTTCAAAAGGTGACGCCAAAAGCCGTTCGAGGGGAATGCAGAAATCGGGCCGCCATCCCTCCCCAAGCACATCGCCTGGGAGTTTCAGGGGCCGACCAGACATGGTGCCATGACCCGAGTCGCCCTTGCACCACGGTCCAGTCAGCCGTCGGAAAAAATATGGTGGCGTTTCTGTCACGGTTGGGTTGCACGCAGGGCGATCGTTTTGCATAAGCCTAAACCAAATGTGACTGATGCAAATGTGAAGAACCAACCAACATGTGAAGAACCCCACCATGAGCTTTGCACTTTGGCATCAAGTCCTGAGATTCAGCTGCGGGATCGATCCAACTCATGTTGATTCTTCTCTCAGCACCTTCCTGTCCTGAAAAGGAGTTGCCCAGCAAACAGCGCTTCTGTGAAAAATGTGGCCGTGAAACCATACCTATGCTTCTGAGCATGTCATACATTCTCTGGCGTGCAAACTCGCTTTGACAGAAAGCACTCCGCAGAGGCCTGTTTCTTCATGGTTTTGCAGCAGCGATGTTTCTGAGGTGCTCATTTGCCTGTCGAACAGAGGCAAAGAAGACGCAAGGACCGAACGGCGCGGCACGCCAGGGTGCAGCTGCATCCTTCGTGCAGCGCACCTCTCAGCTACTTGAAGCTGCGCCAGTCTGCCACACCACAAAACACCTATCAAGGAGTCATTCCAAAGGAGAATTTGAGAGGGCTTCACTGAGAAAGAAATACCTGTATCTGGTGAGCCTTCGGGTCGCTTTTCAAGGCGCCACTCCAAAAAAGTGCAGGTTTTAAACCTGCTCTCGAGTCGGGAACTCAGAAATGCTCTTCACGAAACTCAAGCCGTGCACTCCTTGCAAGCCTTGCAAGTTTTGCGGAAGTGAGAGCCGCAAGCATTCCGAGCCCAAAAATACATCTGTAAGTGAAGGAATCGTCTGCCATGCCCTGCCCTAGCAAACAAAGGTGCATGTGGCCAAACAGCGTTGCTCAACTCCCAGCGCGAAGAACACCATCCCAAGGCATCCACTGATTCCAGTCGCGAGTGAAGAAACCACACCCATTGCATGCGTTGTTGATGCGGCTGCGCCCAGAGCGGTCATTATGATGAGCCTGCAAGTCAAAGCAATTCTCATTGATCACGGGCCCACAGCGGCACTGCGGGCACATCTTTGCATTGGGATATCGCCTGCGCGGGCACACATGTTTTCCTGCAACCTTGCTCCGTCCTGGGTTTCCACCTTTCAAGGAACAAAAGCTCACCACAACAACGACGACGACATGAATGCGACAACAACGTGGACAACGACGATGAGGAGGACGAGGACGAGGACGAGCACGACAACGACAACCCCGACCACAACCACAACCACAACGACCACAACCACAACCACCACAACCACAACCACCACAACCACAACCACCACCACCACCACCACCACCACCACCACCACCACCACAACAACAACCACAACAACAACAACAACAACAACAACAACAACAACAACAACAACAACAACAACAACAACAACAACAACAACAACAACAACAACAACAACAACAACAACAACAACAACAACAACAACAACAACAACAACAACAACAACAACAACAACAACAACAACAACAACAACAACAACAACAACAACAACAACAACAACAACAACAACAACAACAACAACAACAACAACAACAACAACAACAGTCACAGCGGAAACTGCAGCAGGGAGAGCAGCAGAGCCAGCAACCACAATATCACCAACATGCAGACTGTCCTTTTTGTTGCGTGGCTTTCTTTGGCTTTTTATTGATACATCTGGCGACGCCTTCGCAAGAACTCCGCAGACTCCTGGACCTCCCTCTGCGACCGGTGGGCTTGCTCGTGCTCGGCTTGGATACGCTGTACCTCCGCCTGGAAGCGCTGGTTGTGCTCGTTCCAAATGCCTCAGGAAAGCATTTGGCTGATTGACAGGGGCGCTCGAAACTTGGAGGCTCAGAGCGCCCATCCAAGCTCCGTTCAATAGAGCCATCAGAATCTGTGCTATGGAGCGCTTTGGCTCCGTTCAATAGAGCCATCAGAATCTGCGCTATGGATGCTTTGGGGACTTTGCGGGCGGGAGCTTTTCAAAAGGCCCCATTTGTTGAGGCAAACAAGGCCAGGTTGGAATTGCCCAGCACACGGTGGGTGTCTTCATCTCACCAGGTGGAAAGGCACAAGCCATCCAACCCGCAACGCTCACAAGGTCAGCTGTCAAAATAGCCTGCCGCCGTGGTGCGATTTTCCGTGGCATCATTTTGAGAAGCGCGGTAGGCCACAAAAACCTCACCAGGCAGGGCGCGAGCCAGCGCCTGCTCGGAGTAATACGCACTGCACTGCGGCTGGAACATGGGGTTGTGCCGGACGCAGGGGATGGTGCCTCCCCTGTCTCGATGCTCTTCAAGCATCGTGTCGCTGGCGCCCAGCCGCTCCAGGAAGCTGCGCACCATATCCCCTGTGCAACCTGCACAAATCAGATGCTCCTGAGGACACATGAGGTTGTTCGGCTCGCCACCAGGAATTGCATCGAAGCAAAGCTCGCACGGCTTTTCCTCTCAGGCATTTCTGGTCTCTCGCGTAATCAAAGGTCCACGGGTTTGCCCCCTCCCCCGCCCAACGCGGGGGATTGTGAAATACACCCAGGGCTTTAAGCCCAAAGATGCGGAGCAAGGGCGGGATTTGTTTCAAGCTCGCAATCCCCCGCGTTTGATTCCTTTGGGTTGGCGTTTGAGAACAACCTCTTCAAGGGGGACTCGGGCCTCCTGCTGCATCTGTGCCCGTGCCGCTTGCTCTTGCAGCCGGAGCCCACGTAGCTCGGCGTTCATGCGCTCCAGCTCTGCCCTCAAAGCTGACACCTCCTCCGCAGGCGCGCTTGCAGCAGCCTCTCTGGCCTGCCTTAGCCAGGGCCAAACCCACCTGTTCCAACCGAAAAAGTAATGTATTATTTAATCTTGAACCAAACATGAGTCTTGGTCTGAAGGGAACGCAACAGCTGAGCCATTTTCTGGACACGTTCTTGATTCTCAGAGCCCTGCTAAACTAGCTCGCCTCAGCAGCGGCAGCACGGTGATCCGTTGCGCAAAGCGCTGAATGCCCGCAGCAGCCATCGCCGCCAGCTTCTGCATGGCCTCTCGGTCTGTGCCACTGCACGGAGGCCGCGTGTCGCAGTGCTCGGCAATCTCCGCCGTGTCGGCGTTGTCGATGATATCCGCATGCTGGTCAATGTCTTGCACGCCTGTGCATGTGTCCATGGCTGCCAATCAACCGGTGTACAACTATACATTTGTGTATGTATATATATATGTATGTCTACTCTGCACAACCAAACCCCTTTAACCAAAATGTGTCTGTCGTCAAACATGTCGGTTTCTTGGGGAACATCATGGACCTACAGAAAATTGCCGCAAGGAGTGCAACAGCTTGCTTGATTGAACAGCTGCACGTTACTTAATGTTGCGCCTGTCACCAGCTGCAGGATGGTAACTCCGATGGAGTACACCTCAGACTTCGCGTTGAAATTGCCGGTGTCGATGTACCTTTTGCACATGAACCCGGGCGTGCCCTCAATAGCCGCACCGGTCACTTGCATTGTCATTCGGGCACGTCCAGGACGATCTGTCGGCAAATTGCGAGACAACCCGCAATCACTGAGCTTCGGGGATAGGGATGCAGTCAACATGATGTTCCCCGGCTTAATGTCCCGATGATAGCACGGCCCTTGTGGGTTGTGGTTGTGCAAGTAGCTAACGGCTGCAACTAGACCGACCACAATGGTGCTACGTCTGCCCCAGGTAAGTCGAACAGCCTTGTCCTGTGACGACAAATGCTGGTCTAGGCTTCCTTCAGGAAGGAACTCATAGACCAAAATAGCCCCATCGGGATGCATGCAATGGCCCAAGAGCTCAATGATGTTTGGATGAGCAAACGCTGTAAGGACCTTAATCTCTGCCTCAGTCATTCTCTCCAGCATCTGTCGCCTCTCAGGCTCCTCACACTCCAAGCGCTTGGCGGCAAACTCGATGGGGGGCTGCGCCGCTGTGTCGGTGCCATGGTAGACTCTCCCATAGCTGCCAAATCCAAGAACCCGATCCGCAGAAAAGTGGTCGGTGCATGCCCTGATGTACTCAAAGGCTATGTCGCACGGCGCCCCTGCGCGGAGCGTGGGCCTTGGAACCGCTGGCGTCGCCGCGGGCCTTGGAGCAGAAGGCTTCACGGCAGCTACCGCTGCCGCTGGCGGCGCTGGCGGCGCCGGCGGCGCTGGCGGCGCCGCACTCGGGCCAAGCTTGTCTGGCTCTCGGAGAGTGACAAGGCAATGGCCAGTTGTAAGTCGTCGGACTCCCTCTCATCACTCGGCACTGGCGGAGTTGCTTTAGAGGATTCCATCGATTGGGCTATCGCTGCAGCCAGGTCCGCGTCTGAATCCTCATTGCGCGTGTTGCTCCGGGCGTTGCTCGAGCGCCTTGGAGCCCCTCCAAGCACCTGCCCTTGCCCAGGAAATGCCACAGGAGCACGTTTTGGCTGCGTTGGCGAAGCCTTGGACCCAGCGGCCACCCGGCACTGCGCATGACGGCAGCACGGGCCGACCCCACAATCGGAGCAAACAGATGGGCCACTTCCGCATCCACATATCCGTGGACGTTCATCCACTGGGCGGACCCTCCCACGATCATTCACGCACTGACTTCGTCCTGTCACTCGATAGGTGCACTTGCCGCATTCTCGGCACACTCCGCACTCGTTGCCTCTGAATGTGTGGTGATGCTCGGCTGGCGCTGGTACCTGAAGACACTCTGACTCAGGGCGACGTGGGCAGCGATCACAGGCACAGCGACCCCTTCTGCCGCGGCAATGCTCACAGTGAGCAGAAGGCAAGGTTCTGGATTCACATTCCGCCCCTGGGGGTTTGGGGCAACCCTCTCTGCAACCACATCTTGCCGCAAGACCTCTGCAATGAGAGCAATGCTTCGTCCTGCCCGACGACTCCGACAAATCCGACAGCTCCGACAGCACAGATCGAAACTGCTGATGCCCAGTGTGATGTGTGTGTATCCAGGACTCGGCTCGATCCGCACAACGTTCCCCACATGTGCGGCAAGTCATTGGTAAATGATCTCCGGGATCGCCGCCTAGCGAACTGAGGGCTCCCAGCAACGTCTGCAAATCATCGGCTTCCATAGCGAGAGCTCGAGAATACAAGTGATCAACTCAAACAATTGATCTGGAAAAAGATGCGGAGAGTGGCCTAGCACAGCCAGCTGTGTGAAGCAACTCCAGGCTCTCCAAACGCAAATCCGCCAGTTCCTTTTTTCCGCGGCTCTGATCCTGGTCTACGCGGCCAGCGGGCTCGAGGGGCCACAAAGCATGGGTCAAGGTTTGGTGCTTTGCACTGCCGCGCTCCAAAACGTCAGCGGAATCCATGCTCTGAAGAGGCCACGAGTTCTCAGGTTTTCCTGCAACTACTGAGTCACCGGAGCGGAACCTTCCCATCATCACACATGCAAAGGATGGAATCATTCTACACTCTGACATGTGGCGGGCACGGCTAGACAGGGAATGCAAAACTGACCAAAAAGAGGCTCGCCCCCCTTCTATGAAGGCAGCCACACCGCGCATGAGGGCAGGCTTCACACTCTCGAGTCATCTTCCCGCGAAATGAGCGGGGCGCTGTACAGCGAATGGAAGGCCCCGATGGTGGCTTGGAGATGCGGGCGCTTTTGACCCCAAAATGGAATAAAGTTAAGTGGGAAACCAAATGTCAGGATAGGGGTGTAGTGGCTTTAAGTAGCTGAAAGATGTAAGCGGTTCTTACTTCCAAAGAGGCAAGCTGTTTTGCGAGTTTGGGCCTGGGTTGGTCCTGCAGGCGCGGGTCAGGGTGCTGTTTGGGAGGGCACTGCGGTGGTTGCGTGCTGGTCAGGGTGCTGTTTGTGTGCCTCAGGTGCTGCGGTTACTGGCTGCGCGCGTTTTGCGACGCAGCCGCTGGACGCTGCCGGTGGCCTTTGACAAGCCCAGCAATGGATGCAATGGATGGTTTCCGTTTAGGTGTCCCTTGAAAAATCATTTCACTGCTACATTTGAAAAATTCCTGATAGAAGCCACGAACCTGAATGCGGACACGAAAGCGGACTCTTGTCACATCTCGCGTCGCGTCTCTAGTCACGTTTCTATAGTCACGTCTCTGGTCACTTCGGGTCACGTCATTGTCGCGTCTCTCGTAGCAACTCTGGCCACGTCTCTCGTCATCACTTTCGTCAAACGTTTCATCATGTGTCTCGCTGCTCCTCTCGTCACGACTCTGTCACGTCTCCCATCACGTCTTTCTTGGCGACTCCCGTCATGTCTCTTGTCATGTGAGTCGTCACCCCTCAAGTCGCGTCTCTGGTCTTGAATCACTAGTCTCGCCGCGCCTGTCGTCATGACTCCGTCGCGTTTCCCGCCGCGTCTTTCTTGGCGACTCTCGTCACGTCTCTTGTCGCGCATGACGTCGGCCCTCGCGCCACGTCTCTTGTCACATCTCTCGTCACATGTCTGGTCCAATCTCGTCACGTCTCTCCTCGCCAGGTGGGGTATCTGGCTATTCCTCTTTTTTGTCGTTTCACGTCACGTCTCTGGTCGTGCCCCTTGTCAGGTTTCTCGTAACAGCGTCTCTTGTCACGTCTCTCTTTTTTCCTTGTCCTTGTCGCGTCTCACGTAACAACGTTTCTTGTCACATCTATCGCCACGTAGCTAGACGTCCCTTGGCAGGTCTCTTAATACCAACTCTGGCCACATCTCTCGTCATGACCTTCGTCACATCTTTCATCATCGCATCTTTCATCACGTGTCTCGAGGCGCCTCTCGTCGCGACTACGTAGCGTCTCCCACACGTCTTTCTTGGAGACGTCTCCTGTCACGTGCGTTGTCGCCCCTCGCGTCACGTCTCTGGTCACATCTCTGGTCACGTCTCTGGTCACGACCCTTGCCACGTCTCTTCTCGCACGTCTCTTGTCATATTTGCCGGCCCGTCTCTGGCAACCTCTCGCGTCACGATCCTCGTCACGTCTCTTGTCGCATCTCTCGTCACGTCTTTGGTCACGCCATATCTCGCGTCTCGTCGCCACTCTCCTCGCATGTCTCTTTGTTCTTGTCACATCCATCACATACATCGTCAGGCCTCTGGTCACGTCTTTGGTCACGCCCTTTGTCACGTCTAACAACTCTGGCCACATCCGTCTTTCTTGGAAACCCGTCACACGCGTCGTCACCCCTCGCGTCACGTCTCTGGTCACGTCTCTTGTCACGAGGGTCTCTTCTCAAACGTCTCTTGTCATATTTGCCGTCCCGTCTCTGGTAACCTCTCGCGTCACGATCCTCGTCACGTCTCTTGTCGCATCTCTCGTCACGTCTCTGGTCACGCCATATCTCGCGTCTCGTCGCAACTCTCCTCGCATGTCTCTTTGTTCTTGTCACATCCATCACATCCATCGTCAGGCCTCTGGTCACGTCTTTGGTCACGTCCTTTGTCACGTCTGTCGTAACAACTCTGGCCACATCCGTCTTTCTTGGAAACCCTGTCACACCCCTCGCGTCACGTCTCTGGTCACGTCTCTTGTCACAAGGGTCTCTTCTCAAACGTCTCTTGTCATATTTGCCGGCCCGTCTCTGGTAACCTCTCGCGTCACGATCCTCGTCACGTCTCTTGTCGCATCTCTCATCACGTGTCTGGTCACGCCTTATCTCGCGTCTTGTCCCTCGCACGTCTCTTGTCACATCCCTCACATCCATCGTCACGTGCGTCGTCACCCCTCGCGTCACGTCTCGACCCTTGCCACGTCTCATCCCGTCCTGGTCACGTCTGTTGTCACGTCTTTGGTCACGTGCTTTTTGACGTCTGTCATAACAACTCTGCTCCCGTCTCTCGTCATCACTTCCAACACATCTCTCATCCTGCACGCGCCTCACGTCACAACTCCGTCACATCTCCCGTCCTGCCTTTCGTGGTCTGTCTCATGTCTCTAGCCACGACCCTACTTGCGTTTCGTGTCACACCCTTACATGTTTCGTCATTCAGCACGCAGAGGGTTCACTGCGCAATCTCAACATGTGCACCGCGCCACAGCGAGATCGATTCGACCCACCCAAAGTGCGCAGAGGGTTCGCTTTGCGATCTCAAAATGACGGCAAGAAAGAGCGACCCGCCCAAAGCGCGCAGAGGGTTCACTTTGCGTGCGAAAAGGCGCGCCGCGACAAAGCCAGAGCGATTCGACCCGCCCAAAGCGCGCAGAGGGTTCACTTTGCGTGCGGAAAATGCGCACCGCGCCACAGCAGGCAGCAAGAGCAACTCGACCCAACGACAGTGCTGCCCCTCCCACAAAATCTGCACGCAAGCTGGAAAGCGCTGCGCCTGCCACGAAAGCTGCACGAAAAGCTCTAAAGCGCTGCGCCTGCCTCAAGATCTCGAAAAGCTCTAAAGTGCTGCGCCTGTCACGAAAATTCGCGTTACAGCGACATGCAGAAGGCTCAAAGTGCTGCGCCTGCCACGAAATCAGAATTTGACACTCTCGCATCGCATGCGGAAAACTAGCGCGGGACTGCAGCGCCAGAATGATTTCGACCAATTTTGACATGTTTCAAGGCCGCCAAAACAAGCCGATTGTACGACAGGCGCAAACACTATCACGCGCCTGCCAACGACCACCCCTGGATCGCAAATCCCACTGGCACGGCAACGAGAACACGCAGCCTTCCAAAACACGGGGCCTGCGCAGCGAAACGACACGCCACCAAAAGATGGCAGATTCGGCCTACCCCTTGCCTGCTCGAAAAAAAACCATGCAACCAAACTGTTTGCAACTAAGTTCGACTCCGTCCTTGTCATATAGTTCCAGATTCTGAATGTGGAGCGCCTCTGATGCGTCGCTGTCAACACCATATAATCAGCTTCACCTCATTACAAGGTGATGGCTTTCTGACCACGCACAAACGATAGGTTTAAGGCCCGATTCACATAGACCTGTCCTGAGCTTGCTGCGCCGCGTAGTCTGATCACCAGCAAAGTCGCTGTCACTAACAGCCTCAATCAAACACAACGTCTTGCTAGACCCGGTGACAAAGACGGTGACAAGTTCGGCAGGTTGCCGTGTCAGGAGCGAGGACCTCGGCTGGCTGCCGTGCTTGGGCGAAAAACGGAAAATTGTGTGAAGAACAAAGTCTTCGGGAAGTCGGGAAGTTGGCCGTTTTTGCGCACTTTTTCGGCGAGAGCGGTGACGTAGCGGTGACAAGCGGTGACAAGCTCGGCAGCTTTTTTGGGCCGAAAACGGAAATCGAGAGCAGCGTGCGCTGTTTGAGAGGCTGAGGCACCTCACTTGCTGTCTGACAGGAAAAAACAAGCTTTTCAATTTTCAGAAAGTTAACCGTTTTGAGCACTTTTTCGACCCAAAAAGGAGCGATAACACAGTAGTGACATCAGTGGTGACGAGTACACGCCAACCTGCCGAACGTCCAGAGGGACTTCCAGGGCTTGAAATCTTGGCCCGGTTGTCGGGTTACCAGGCGGGATTCAAGCCCCAGACCAGGGTGGTGCAGAGACTGCGCTTAACCACTGAGACAAGGGATCACCGCTTGTCACCGGGGCGCGTTTTTGGGTGGAAAAAGCAGCCCGCCGAGCCTGTCATTGTTTGTCACCGGTATGTCACCGCCGGGGTTCGAGCCCCGGAATGCTGCAAATCGCAGAGACCGCACTGAGCCAATGGATCTCTTGAACCTCTCTCTTTAGAGGGGGTTTCCCAAATGGATTCTATTCCACCTGGTAGGCTCCTGACACTCGTCCGTCCAGGGACCCCTTTTTTGGGGACCCCTGTTTTTCTGTTTTTTTGTTTTTTTCTTAGCCCTGCAAAGGTTGGCTCGCTTGAAATGCAACCTGGAGCCAAATTGCAAGCATATCTAGGGGTCGTTATGTTGCAGCCACACGCCTGCACGCAGCGTTTTAGATTTCGAATCCTTCGCAGGACGAGGTCGTTTCCTGGACGGACGAGTGTCAGGAGCCTACCAGGTGAAATAGAATCCATTCGGGAAAACCCCCTCTAAAGAGAGAGGCGCACCAGTGCGACGCTGGTGCAGCTGTCCCTGACCACGAACCAGACGAACTCCGGCTGCCTGGCGATCGCCGGCCGGGCCACCAAGCGCGCCGCGCACGAGCTGACACGACAAGAACTTCGTGGTCACGACCAACGAGTTCGCCGCGC